TGATGTATGAACTCACTCTAAAGTTGCTTCTGAATCAATAAACTTATTATTATTCATCAAAAAAAAACCTTCTATTTTCTATTATTTTGTATTCTTAAACCTTGTTTTTGCATTGCATATATTTGTATATGTACTCTTCCCAAACTGAGCATAAGGAAAATGAGGATCTAAGTTTGAAATTGAATCTTAGTGGTCTCTATCCATGAAGAGCTGGGGAAACTTTGTAGCAATCCTGGTAATAGGTCATTTTTCCCTCTCCCTAAAATTCAAGAATGTGGATGATGGGTTCATTTGGGTGTTGAAAAATATCTATGGACCCAATAGGTATAGACTTTAATGTGGTCAGATTCACGGAGACAAATAATCCCAACCAATTAGTCACCACTAGTATGAGAAAGTTTAATGATTTCATAGAGAAGTGTGAACTAAAGGAACTTCCCACCCAACAAATTTTATTCACTTGGTCCAATTTACAAATCCCCCCTAGTTGCTCAAAGCTGGACAAATTTATTTTCACTCTAGATTGGGAAGAACATTGGAATGGATTGGTGTCAAGAGCTTTACTGTGAGTCACTTCTAACCATTGCCCAATTAGCATTGGAACCAAAAACTTTTTGAGTGGCCCCAAACCCTTTAGGTTTGAGAATATGTGGCTTACACACCCTAACTTTATCCATAAGGTAGAGGAATGGTGGGGAGCAGAAGTGCAAGGAATTTGGGGGAAAAGGTGCACTTTTTCATAGGAAGCTAAAAAGGCTTAAATACGAAATCAAAGAGTGGAACAGAGACCATTTTGGAAGAGTAGAGGAGAGGAAATTATTGGTAACTTCTCAAATTGAGCTTTTGGATGCTAAAGAAAGCCAATGATCAATAAATGAGGAAGATAAGGTTGTCAGATGGTCGTTAAAAAAAGATTTGGAAGAAATTTTGTTGAGGGAAGAAAACAGTTGGAGGCAGAAATCTAGGCACATTTGGATCAAAGAGGGGGATGGGAATACCAAATTTTTCTATGCACTTGCTAATGGAAGAAGAAGAAAAAATTTTGTGGGGAAATTAGAAGTAAACAGAGAAACTTTGGTTAATCAAGAAGAAATTGCTAACTTTTTTGTGGCTCATTTCAAATCCGTTTTTAAAAGACAAGAGGATGTGGGTGCTACTTTGGAGGGACTGGATTGGCCAAGATTGAGTCTGGACTTGGAAAGAGTGTTGGAAAGGGATTTTGACTTGGAGGAGATAAGGGGAGCTATATTTTCAATGGCCAGATCTAAAGCTCTAGGACCGGATGGTTTCACTATGGCCCTTTATCAAAACTGTTGGGAGATAGTTAAAGTGGACCGTTTGGCTATCTTTGAGGAGTTTGTTGGGGAACACTTTATTAGTCCGGGAATAAATTCAACTTTCCAAGCCTTGATTCCCAAGAAGGGAGGAGCCAATCAGCCGAGAGATTTCAAACCAATCAGCCGGGTAACAAGCATCTGTAAAATCTTGACCAAGGTTTTGTCTTTAAGATTAAAGCAAATCCTTCCTGGTTTGATAAGCCACTCCCAAAGTGCGTTCATTCAAGGTAGACAGATCACAGATCAAGTTTTGATAGATAATGAATGCGTAGAGGATTTTAAGAAAAGGGAAAAAAAGGTTGTGTGTAAATTGGACTTGGAGAAAGCTTATAATATGGTTGATTGGTCCTTCCTCTTGGACACCTTGAAAAATTTTGGGTTTGGGGAGAGATGGTATGGTTGGATTGAGGGTTGCTTGAAGACATGTCATTATTCAGTCCTTGTTAATGGAGTAGTTAGAGACTTTTTCCTAGCAACAAGAGGTTTGAGGCAATGGGATCCCCTTTCTCCTTTCCTATTTACCTTGGTAGCTTAGGTGTTTAATAGTCTTGTTGTAAGAGATGATTACTTGGGACTGGTTAAAGGTTGGAGGGTTGGGAGAGAGAGCACAATTGTTACACACTTGAAGTTTGCTGATGATACAATCATATTTTGTGAAAGTGTTGATCCTCAAAGGGCAAGTAATTTGAAGCAGGTGATCAAACTGTTTGAATTTGTCCCTAAGTTGAAGATTAACTTTGAAAAGAGTTGCATAGTGGGACTGAACTGGTAGAGGAGGAGATGACTGGTCTAGCAGAAGCCTTAGGTTGTCCTACCGCTAGGTGGCCTTTGAAATATCTAGCTATGCCCTAGGAGCCAGCCCATGGGAAGGAAGCTTTCGGAGTCCAATTCTTGAAAGATGCACTAGGAAATTGTCAGCTTGGAAAAGGAATTATGTGTATCTAGGGGGTCGTATCACTCTGATTAAATCTACTTTAGCTAACCTTCCACTGTTCTTTCTCTCAGTATTCAAAATGCCACAAAGGGAGGTAATGAAAGTAGAGAAGATCATGAGGAACTTCTTATGGGAACCTGGTGAAGGAAGGAACAATCACTTGGTGAGATGGGATCTAGTTTGTAGAAGTAAGGAGCAAGGGGGTTTAGGTTTAGGCAATATAGGGAAGCATGAAGCTTTATTGGGCAAATGGCTTTGGAGTAGGGGTGATCATTTCAGCCCAGCCTGGCCCGGAAATTCCGGGCTTGGGCCTGGGTTTTGTGTTCAGGCCTGGCCCGGACCCGGGCCCAACTCAGGCCCGCAAATTTTAGGGCCAGTTTTGGGCTTAATACTTCAAGCCCGCATATATTTAAACTTACACATTTTATGTATAATGTATACATATGTATACTAGTTATTTTACATTATATTATATATTTTATATATAAATATTATACCATGACATGTATAATTTATATATAAAATATATATAAATTATAGATATATAAATAAGTTTATATGCATGTTATGTCATTTAATATAAAATGTTATAGATATGTAATGTTTTACATATGAAAGACATTGGCCCAGAATCAGGCTCGGCCCGGCCCGGGCCCATGTAGACCTGGGCTAGGGCTTATGTTTCAGGCCTGGAACCCTGGGCCGGGCGGGCCCAGGCCTAAGCTATAACCCTTATCATAAGTGCAAAGCTTGGCCTGGCCTGGCCTATGATCCACCCCTACTTTGGAGATGGCCATTCGAGAGAGATAGGCTTTGGCATAAGGTGGTGGGAAGTATTCATGGTTATGCAGAAATGATTGGGATGCTGGAGTGTCTCGGCAGGCTACTCTATACTTTCCGTGGAAGGCTATTCATAGTATTCTTCCCCAATTCCTCATCCTTATCAGGTATGATGTGTGTACTGGTGATAAGATTCTCTTTTGGGAAAACACCTGGATTGGTAATTCCACCCTTAAGGATCTCTATCCATCTTTGTTTTCCCTTTCCCTTTTTAAAAGTGAACCCATTCATAGATTTGTTTCTTTCTCCCAATCCTCTGGATTCAGCTGGAATTTGGGTTTCAGAAGAGATCTAAGAGATTTTGAAATCGATCAAGCTGCTTCTTTGATCAAGACCCTAACAATGTTTGCTTGGACCCTTCTAAACCTGATGTTAGAATCTGGACTCCCAACCCTCTGGGTCTTTTTTCTTGTGCCTCCTTTTTCTCTCAGTTGTGCTCAATCCCTAACCCTCAGCCTTTCTTTTGGAAAGAAGTTTGGCCTAAATCCATTCCCCCTAAAGTTGGAGCCCTCTGTTGGGAAGCCTCTCTTGGGAAATTAAACACACTGGATACCTTGCAAAAGAAAAGACCTAACTTCTGTGTCTCCCCAAGCTGGTGTTTCCTTTGCAAAGCAAATGGAGAGARCTGTTACCATCTTTTAATTTCTTGCCCATTTGTTGTAAATCTTTGGGAAAAAATTTTGATCTTTTTGGGGGTAGGTGGGTGATGCCTCTACAAACCGGGGGGCTTTTCGACCCTACAACTTTTAGGTGGCCTAAGAGAAGAGGTAGAATTTTATGGAGATGTGTTAGGGCTGCTTTAGTATGGACAGTTTGGGAGGAAAGAAATAACAGAATTTTTAATGATAAAGAAAGGGATATGGATACTGTTTGGGCATGTCTGCTAATGAGGGCTATAAGCTGGGCCAAATCTTTAGATTTATTCTCACTTAACTCCTTTGATGTCATATGGATAAACTGGGTATCTGTTGCAAATTCTTCTTCGGTTAAGGATAAACCTGTTGTAGATTGGAAGCCGCCAGAAGAAGGTTTCATAAAGTTCAATTTTGATGGCAGCAGCATTGGCAATCCTGACCCTCTGGCATTGGGGGTGTCTTTAGGAATGAAGAGGGACAGATTATGGCCTTATTCTTGGGCTCAATTGGTGTGGGGGATGCAGCTAGTGCAGAGGTGCAAGCTGCTCTACAGGGAGCACAGATTGCTAAAGAACTGAACTTTAGGAGGTTGATCTTTGAAGGTGATTCTAGAGTTGTAACTGGGTGGCTGAAAGAACCAGAGACAGTAGCATGGTCTTTTAGGGGAGAAATGAAAAGATTCAAATGGCTTACCACTAATCTCACGGTTAGATTTCAGTGGGAGAGGAGGTCGGCAAACGGGTTGTCTGGGATCATTTGTAATTTTACTTTGTTTTTGAGGCAGCAAGTTGCGCCTCCTGAGAGATATCAGCTTGGTATGAATTTGTCTGCTTACTTTTATTACTATTAATAAAATACTTAATTATCCATAAAAAAAATCCTGGAAATGCTGCATCAGGAGACTTTTTTTCCCTCTTAGGTTGTCGTTTCTTTTATTTTTAGAAGGATTATTATATATGATTTCTTCTTTGTATAACATATTGGTATCCCTAATTTTTTTGAATGACCTCAGCAACTTGACTTGATCTCCTTTAATGGTAAACTCTTTATCTCTTTACTTGTACTTTGGCATGCTTTATCTTCTTTCAAATGTTCTTAAATCTGAACATTGATATTTTTATCTTCAGGTTCTTCTTATTGGAGGCAAGATGCTGTCCTTGTACAATCTTATACAGTGGAGGCCATCAAATGGACAGGTTCTGGTGATGGGATTATTGCAGCTGGAATTGAGGTGGTATTGTGGAAAAGGAAGAACCAGACCTGGGAAATAGCTTGGAAGTTCAGAACAGAACAACCTCAAAATCTGGTTTCTGCAACCTGGACTGTTGAAGGACCTGCAGCAACTGCAGCATGCTTATGTGCATTGGATGTTGAAGGATCACCTTCTCTGTTTAAAGGGGTAAATAAATGTGTGTTAGTGTGTCAGAATGATGGGAAAACTGGATTTTGGAAAGCAGAGTTAAACCATCCTCAGCCAGTTTCAATGATTCAGTGGAGGCCATTGATTAAAACAGGATCAAATAGAGATACATTGCATCCACAAAAGGATGTTCTCTTAACATGCTGCTTAGATGGAACTGTAAGGTTGTGGAGTGAAATTGACAGTGGGAGGGGTAGAAAGTTTAGTAAGGACATCAATGATCAAAAAACCATGAGGCAATCTTTCCATGTTACTGCTGTAATTGAAATAAACCAATCCTTGAGGGCAACCTTGGGCAAAGATGCATTTGTAACATGGGCAATGGAACTCACAGGTACAGTAAATACATGTATACATGAAACGCCAGGCAGGTGTGAGTGGTTAATTGGGTTTGGACCAGGAATGTCACTTACTTTCTGGGCTGTCCACTGCCTTGATGATACTTCCCCATTAAGGTTCCCACGGGTGACTTTATGGAAGAGACAAGAGTTACCAAGTCCAGAAGGTGTTTATCATTATGGAATTGCTAAGCCAAGTTCTGAAGACCTATCCCTTTTTTATAATGCTGTTACGTTGAGGAGTAAACTCTTTGGACCACCAACCACATGCTCTTTGATACAGTTATTACCTTGCAATTCCATGAGTTGGTTACAGTTATATACCCCTCCATCTAGTAACACAGAGGATGCATCTTTAAAGCAATTATGGGAGAACTGTTTATCATGTTGTGCAGGTGGGGTTGTGAGTCTAGACGGTCACAATGGAAAAATCTTACAAGTAGCAGTGCATCCCTATAGTTGTGAAGTTGAACTTGCTGTTTCATTAGATTCTAATGGTTTGCTGCTTTTCTGGTCTCTTTCTGCCACTTCCAATTGCATGTTTGATATGCCAATGGTGGTTCCCCATACATGGAAACTATTGGGCAGAACTGTGACTAAAGACTTGTCGTGTTTTGAATATTCAAGCGTGAGGTGGGCACCTTCAGTTTTGGATGGGAGCTGTATTCTTCTTATGGGACATGCTGGAGGAATTGATTGCTTCATCATTCAATTCTCCAAAAATGAAGAAAGGAGTGTATTGCCTCAAAAATTATGTACAATTCCTTTCAGTGATCATAGTCAGAAAGAAGCACCCACCAACATCTTTGCAGTCCCTCTGCCTTCAGCCTGTAGTAAGAGGTTTATTTCTAATGATTTTATGTTGCTAGGAGTATGGATGAAAGAATTCCAGGCTCTATCATGGAAAATTACCTTGCATGCTGATGATTTACCTGGAAGCAGCTGCAGTTGCAGTTTTGAGAGTGCACAGAGATATGAAAGTACCTTTGCTGGGAAAAAATGTTATGTTGTTGTTCAAGTGTGCTCAGAAAAGTTTCCAGATTTCCACAGCCCTGCTCAAGTTACAAGTGTAGGTGTTGTCTGTTCAGATGTTTTGACACCATCCATACAACGGAAGTGGGCTTTGTCTAATGGTTTCTGCCTGAACTCTTCTGCATATCACATGGCCACAGGATATGCTGATGGTACTCTGAAACTATGGAGAAGTATTCCTGTAAAATCATCAACTCAACATCCTGAACCAGTTCACTTGTCCTGGGAGCTTGTGGGTAAGCTAACCACCCATGAAGGTCCAGTCAGTGCAATAGCTTTGTCTGGGTGTGGTCAGAAGCTTGCAACTGTTTGCGCTGCAGGTCATGTGGATGGTGTGAGCACTCTTCATATATGGGAATCTGTACGTCTCATAGGTTCAGGAAGTTTTTTTCTAGAAGATAAGATATCCCTGGATGGGGTTGTTATTTCTTTAAACTGGTTATCCATAGGGAATGGCCATTTACTACTTGGTGTTTGCATGCAGAATGAATTGCGTGTGTACGCTAAAAGAAGGTGTGGCACTGAGATTCTAGAAAAACCAGGAAACTCATTGGAGATGCATGTTTGGCTTTGTATTGCAGTAGGTCACACTTCGCAAGTAGCTCAAGACTTCCTTTGGGGACCAAGGGCTAATCCTGTGCTTGTTCATGAGAGGTACTTTTCTGTTTTCAGTCAGTGGTCATTCCATATGGATAAGAATGACCAGGCCAAGCAGTATCGAGAATGTGAGGAAGATAATCCTCACCATTGTATGGCTAGAACAGATAGAGACATGCTTCCTGCTATTTTTGCAGGTTGCATTAGTTATGATGATAAATTCTTAACAAGTGATGAGAGCAGTGAAGGATGCAAGTCCATACTGCCAACAAAGATGAATATGAAAAATGATCATCTGTTCTACAACTTTTTAACACTTCCTCAACAGCAATATGATTCAGATACCACATTCGGCCCATGGACCATGCTTGAAGTAGAAGAGAAATTACATGGAGTTTTGCCTGTTTATCATCCAGAATCACTCCTGATGAATATATGTTCAGGTATTTTAGTACTTTATTCATTTATTTTTATAAACTTTCAAGATTTAGAACCTGGAAAAATGCATAGTTTTTTTCCTCCTGCTAAGTGCARAAGCACTGGCAATGCAAAGTTGGTTATAATTTTCAGGTATCAGATACTCTTGAAGAGGACATATGTTACTAATTAAGACTACATGCTTTTGGTTCTGGGTTGTCCATCTTATTTTTTAGACTTGCTTAAAATCTGTATTCTGTAGGCTGAATTTTGTGACCTCTATGTCTATTGTATTGAAGTTCTTATGGGTAATATTCTACTAACTATCAGGGACTGTTTGATAATGGATGAAGTTGCAGAACTGAATGAATTGTTGCTTTGTCTTGTAGTGCATAAATCATTAAGTAGGTTGTGATCTCCTTATGGCTGAATGGAATGTTAGGTTGATTATTTTATCCTTAAATATTTTATTATATAACTATTCTATCCACTAAAAGACAAATAAGTTGTTTAGACCAGCCACTTCAGCTGTTATCAAACGGCCCTTTTGGTATTCACTCATATCAAACTTAACATATGCAGAAACAACTGTTTGTAGGGAATTGGAAACGTGCATATATTGCTGTGCAGCATCTTGTGGGATATCTTACCTCTGATAATTCCTCTGCCTGCGAGGAGGCATTTAACTTGGCAAAACGTAGCCATATCATTCCACAGATACACTTGGCAAATTATCTTGAAGAACTTTTCTCCACAAACTTAAGTGATACAAAATTACAATGGGGTGGAGTTCCTGCTTCAATGACATCAGCTTCACAGTTTGAGAGAAGCTCCTCCCAGTTTTCTGGATATAAATCAGAGACCAATGCTACCAATAATATGTTCACTTCCACTTTAAGGAATTCTGAAATTGACCACTTTATTGAAACTCTAAACAAAGTCCATCCAGCTACAAAAAACATGGAAAGACTCAAAATTCTTGCAGTTTTAGATCTTTTGGGAGAAATCGGTGGTCTGTGCTCTTCTTCTGCCTATGGAAGTCTAGATGAACCTGGACGAAGGTATGTCTGAGATTGATTATGTTGAACTCTATGATTTTAACCTGGATATTTTTGTTCATTTTGTATTGGTTTGTTTACGTACTGTCTTATCTGGTTTCTTGGTTTCACTTTGAGATCCTAGGTCCAAAATATCAGAAACACAAGATGCATCAGAAAGGCAATTTTAAGATACATATTGGGATACACTTTGGATATACATGGATACACTATGGAAACTCAAATAAATCATAAAAATACATTAATACCACTAAATATAAGTCTTAAATAAGGTATATACATAAGAATCACATACTTTAATTGTTCCTATGAAGAAATATATCATAATCAACATACAAGAATATATAAAATTGTGTCATTGGTCAATTTCTAGTGAATAAGTTATAAATTGATACATATTACAAAAGACTTAAAACTTAATTCACATAAGTTATATTCTTGACCACTAAAAGTTTAAGTGGTTACTCCTTATTAAAAAATAATCACTTAAATTACATTCAGTTTAACCACCAATCTTACTGTTTAAGTTTAACCACTTAAACTATGCAAAATTACATGCAAGTATAAAATTAGTATTTTTTATATTGAAATTATTATTTTGAATATATTTTTGTTTCTAAAATTACCCAAAAATCAAGAAAATTAATTTTTTTTACGTAAAGTTTTGATGTATCTATGGATATGATAGGTCATCCATAGATCCACATTAAAGTTATTCTCGATCATCACATCATGTAAAACATATCAAATTTTCTTTTTTATGTAATGTTTATTATTTTAAACTTTTTTAGGAAAATATACGTACCTACTTATAAGGGCAAAGAATCCAATTATCCAATTATCCAATCATCCAAGACACATATCACAAGTCTGAAATTGGTAATTTTTTCTTATTAAAATAATTAATTCAAAAAATTTAATTTTTAACATTAAGTTTTATGGATTTATGGATATGATAGCTCATCTATAGATCCACATTATAATTATTCCCTATCATCAGATAATGCAAAATATATAAAATTTTCTTTTTTCTGCTATTTTATATTTTCCCTTTATCTGTGATAAAACTCCATAGATCTAATTATAACAATGAATAGTCTTAGAATTTCAACCAGATAAGACTAGATCTATCCATTTCAATCATTCAAATACAAAAATCATTTGAAGCTATGAAGATTTAATGAAGAAATTACAAGAAAACTTGTTGTTTTGCTCAAGTTGTGCCCAAACCACTGTTGGCTTCAAAAATTTTGATTCTTGATTGTTTTCTTTCATTCTTTTTTGTAGATTTGGAGATTTGGGGTCATATAGAAGATTCTTACATGGTTTCAGAGTGAAAGAAGGATTCTAGAGGGTGTTAGAAGCCTTCTTAGACATTTTTTTTTGTTTGCTTCTGTAGCATATCGATTGATACGCATGCAATATGATAGGTATCTGATATGCTACAGTATTGACGAAAAAGCTTCAAACTCYTATTTTTATGTGTTCAATGTGTCAGTGATTCACTAGAACATTACACATTTTATGATACACTCTGATATGTTGCGATATTATGAACTGTGTTAAGATCAAAATGGGCCTATGCTGCAGTGTTTTAAAGTATTTTAAAAGCGCAAGGTGCAAAAAAAGTGCAAGGGCCATTTTGTGCATGAGGTGCACACCTTTTGAAGCAAGGCCAAAAAAAAAGAAATGCAAAAAACATATTTAAAATGAAAATTTAAAAATAAAATCAATCATAACATATAAAACATATTCAAGCATGTAAAGTCTTAATCTCTTTATTTTTTTCCCGATTGCATTACTTCAAATAGCTAATGTGATGTTAAACATTATGCGTTCCTGATTCTATGAGCTGCCTTTGTACCAAGCCCCTCAAGGCAAGCCCAAACAAGTCCGTATCAATGTCTTAATTTCTTAATCCCCATAAAAAAGGTTTTATAACTTAAAGTGTCTTTTAAAAATATCTTTTATTAGGATGAATGAATGAGCAACATTAGCAAATATGGGGTTTTCGGAGCTTCAGTGAGCAAGCGAATAAAAAAACAAAACAATTGCACAAATTTTCAAAAGGCGTGCACCTGGGTTGAAGTGTAAGACACACCAGGTGTGCACCTTTTGAAAGTGCTGTGCCTGGGACCTAGGCAAGGAAAATACCCTAAAATGCACCTCGCTTGTGCGCTTAGGTGTGCCTTTTAGATCACTGCTATGCTGTCATTAAAGGCATAAGAAATTTGATACTGGTTGGCATAGTTGTCAAGGCATCTAGGTGATAGTAGAGCACCTAGTCACCTAGTTGCCTAGGCGGGTGCCTAGGTGATAAGATTTTTATAAAACATAAAACTAAATTTTAGTTTAGTTCCCTAGTTTTTATACCAATCAGCATGCATATGAATTTTAAAAATAGTAATTCTCCTTATTAAGAACATTAAGTTTCTTTTCAAGACATGAGACAATAGTATCTTAAATATTTTAGTTTTAATACTTTCAATAATAGAGCAATTTCATATTAAATTAGCAACTAAAGAAGGCTAAATTTTTATACAGTAAAAATTTTAGATAGAAGTATGTAAACGACAAAAARAATAAGCAGTGGAATCGCTATTTTAGTTAATGTAAGATAAAGAGAGAGTAGCAAAAAGAAAAGAAGCCTCTTTTTCCTACTGTTCTTTCCTTCTTTTTCTCTTGTCAAACCCCTTGGATCTTTGCAAGTCTCAATAGTAAATCCTTAAAAAAAGTGCAAGTGATGTACTAGCATACATAGTAATTAAATTCAGATATAGTACTGATGTTATAACAAGGCACCACCTTGTGATTTTTGTCGCCTAGGTGGGTGCCTTGTTGCTCTAAGTCAAGGCATTCAGGAAAGGCACCCAACCAAGGGCACCTAGTTGCCTAGGCAGCAGCTGCAGGAATTTTTTGTCAGAAGATCCTAGATAGCTGGATACCTGTACATGCCTAGTGTACTGGTGTTGGACGCAATACTTACCCAATATGGCACCAAATACTGCATGATCACTTATAGATATACTCAATAGAATTAACACTTAAGAGATCCATAAAATCATTCTACCGTTCAGGTATAGGGGGTGTGGTCAAAGATCATAATGGTTGTCTTGCTAAGCTTTTCTGGGCCTATTGGTTTTGGCAATTCCCAAAGAGCTGAACTGCACACCTTACTTCAGGGTTTCGAATAACGAATTTAAAAAATGTGGAGGTGGAAAGTGGTTGTCAAACTTTAATTGGTTTGCTGAAGAAGCAGGATTTGGTCCCTGGAGAGGCAGACATCTAGTGAGACAGGCACAACACTTGGGATCCTTTATTGAATAGCTCCTTCAAGTGGATACCTAGAAGTGCTAATGGTCTGGCTGATTCCTTAGCTAAGGCTGGGGTGCAGAAGAGTCAACTTGATTGGGGTTGTCCAGGACTGGGGGCAAACTTGTAACACTTGATTTCCTTTTTGGGCTGTTTTCCTTTTTCCTTCTTTTTGGTTGTCTTTGTTAGAGCTTTCTCTTTTGGAGCTGGTTTGGCTGTTCTTTTTCCTCTTGTACTTCCCTGTTTGCACTGTGTTTTTGCAGGGGTTCTTAATGAAATTATCTGTTGCTTATCAAAAAAAAAATTAAATTTTGGAAAGACACGAGTCTTGAGAAATGACACGTAGATTCAAAAACTAAAAATATAAAATGAGCATATTATACGGGATATCCATTTCCATATCCGTGTCTAGGATTTTAGGAAATGGGGAGTAGTATCTTGTTTTTTGAGTCCATGTCCATGTTGGTATTCATGTTTAGGTATCATGGGTCAGAACACAATTCCTCATTTTCCCTGTAGTTATTATTAAACAGCAATTATCTGGATTTACTTGAACATTGTTTTCATTTTATTAGTAAACAATGAGCATATATTAATGATGAAATACTTTTATGGTTATAAGGCCAGAAATGTTGTACAGAGTAGAGTGCTGGACAATCAACAAATATGTCCAAAAAATGAGTTTGGCGGAAATACAAATGTTGAGATGGATGAGTACGAAAACTAGAATGGATAGGATCAGAAATGAACTTATTGTGAAAGAACCTATGGAGTGGCAGTGTAGTACTGATAGGTTATAAAACAAGGGAAAGTAGATTAGGATGGTTTGGGCATGTGTGGGGAAGACCATCTACAGCACCAATAAGAAGTTATCCATTACAAGTTTAGGGAACCAGAAGAGGTAGAGACAGGCCGACATGGGTTGGGTTAGCTAAAATGATTTAAGGATCTACAATTTAACAATGGATATGCTACTGAAAAATAGGAATGGTGAAACTGGATTAATAACTGACCTCATATAGTTGGGACAAAGTTTAGATGATGAGGATGATGACGACAATGACAATGATGATAGCATAATTGTTAGTGTTGTGTATTTCCAAGTATTATTTTTTTTTTATGTTGATTTCCTCTTGAGGTCCAGTTGTATTTTATCCCAAAAGTATTTTTCTGTAGTGTGCTTCTTCTTTCACGTAATGCAATGTTAGAGCAGAAATCGTCATATGTATTTGTGCTGAACTTAATTCTTGATCATTATTGGTTGGCCTACTTACACCTTTTTCCTTCTTTTGTTATTGATGCATTTACTGAAAGTAATTCTGCGTATCAATGCAAAATATTCTTTATTTTCTGAGTAGATTCTCTTTACTTGCATGTGTCAAGGTTTTGGGTTGCAGTCAGATTTCAGAAACTTTATTTGCTCCGAAGATTTGGAAGAATGGAAGCCAAGGAAGAGTTGCCTGTTGAATCTAGGTTCATAGGTTGGGCCTTCCACTCTGATTGTCAGGAAACTCTGTTCAACTCTATCCTGCCCAATGAGCCATCTTGGCCAGAAATGCGGAGTTTGGGTGTTGGATTTTGGTTTAGTAATGCTGCAGAATTACGCATCAAGGTAGTACTAGAGTCTGACTTCCTTATCATCTTGCTTGTGCTGCTTAAATCTTCACATCTAATTTGTTGTCTTCTAAACCCACAAGTAGAACCTCTATTATACAAGTAATTAAAAGGTTGGTTAGGATTATTGTTGTAGAAATAGCAACCTCCTCAGTTGTAAACTACTTGAAATTCTAAATACATTATACATCACAAATATAAGCGTTTCTAATCAAAGATCAAATGGTTGATGGATATATATATATATATATATATATATATAGTTTTTTGTTTTCTATGTGGGGCCTTTTTATTTGTTTATTTATTTGTGTGTGAGTGTTTGGGGGGGGGGGGGAATCACAATTTGTTCAAAAAGATTTAGTGCTATCTAGGGGGATCCACTAAAATGGAATAACATGTGGAGAGAGTCTGCTAGTCTCCAGATTCCATATGGTTCCATATTTGGAGCCAAACCATGAAATTTATGAAGTAGCAGATTCGCATTTCCATCTTGTTTCAAGTTTTCACTTCTGCTGCAATAATGCAGCCAAGTTTAAGTTCTATTTAGTTGTTTACTTGTTTCCACCCTGTTTTTTATGAAGGAACATTATTTATGGATATTTGCTCCTACGAAGTCTTGGTCAAATGATTCATGAAACCATAGGAATGATTCCTAGAAACTATCAGAACGAAATTTATTGCTATTCTATTCTCTTGTGTTCTTTGTTGCTATTATTGGTTTTGATTGCTATTCTATTCTTAAATTCATCAAACTTCGAAATTTGGCTTGGTTTTCATCTCAGAACAAGTTACTAAAACCCCTATTTAGAAAGTTGGAACTTGGCAACCTAGCTGTTCTTTTGACCTAAAGAAAAACCTTGGTAGAAATCTTCCCCTATACAAAACACCCTAACTATAGAAGAATCACCCTCACTACTCTGAATGACTTAGGAATAGACCAGCAGTGAACTCCTGAGATTTGTGTTGCTGGTTTGACCAGCTCAAATGTGTATCTGACTTTTTAACTGTGATGTCAGTGTCATCATCTTCATTTAAGTCTTGTCTCAACTATATAGGGTAAATGAATCCTGTACTGGCATTCTGTTCTGTTCAGCAGCATATCCATTGTTAAATTATGGGCCCTTAAATCATATTTCGCTACTTCAACCCATGTCCTTCTTGATCTGCCCATAGCTCTTCTAGCCCTTTCAACTTGTAATAGATCTATTCTTACTGATCAAACCAGTAAGAATAGGAGAAATGTAAAGTGGAGAAGAATAGGATGGATGATGGGGAAGATATGTTAAGATTACTGCTTAATTTTAAATTAAATTGTTTATTTTAGTAATTTTAAAAATAAAAGTAAAAAAAATAAAGTTAAATGATTGCTCATTTTGTAGAACTATTGTCAGTTTGAATGGTTTGACAGATCAACGAGCAATTCAAATGATTTTTTTTTACCAAAACTCAAAAGTTTACAAAGGATAGACACAGAAAATCCCCTCCCTGATTCCTGGTTAGAATAGATCACCTTCTGTTTTGTCATGATTTCAAAACAGAGAAAGTTGGTGGGGGGGACCTCAACTTGATTCCTTCAAATTTCTTCTCTCTTGTCTTCTACAAAACCAAACATAACCCGAGTGATTTGAAATAAAATTTTCTTATATTATAGTTTTATCAAATTCTATCTCTTACTTGTAGAAAATTTATATGGCTTGCTCCAAGCCCGAGAATTAGCAGAACCATCTTTACTTCACTCCCTTGTTTTCTTGACACACTTTCCTCTTCATCCCAAATCTTATTTGAATCTAATTCCTACTATTCCCTAAGCTGTCCTATGTAGGGAACTTCATCAAACTTCTGAAGCCTAAACCAACTCAAACAAAGGGTTAAGCCCTCATGCTCAGGCTACTAGATATGTTTTTCTTTTAGTCATAGTTTTTCTTAATATGTTTTCTTGTTTTATACTTTAAAAATTAAAATTTAATTATTATACAGGAATAGTATAGGTGTTTGCTTCTAATTTGTTTTGGTTGATCCATGAGACATGAACAAGACTAAAACTTTGCCACAAAATTCATGAGTTGCTAATGCTGGATATCATATATGTCCAGTGCTAACGATGCAATAACATGTGCATGTTAGATCAATTTGAAATAAAGAAAAGGCCTGGAAATGATTTCTGGTAACATTCCCAGCTGAGGGGAAGAATTTTGAAAACCTGAAAAGCCCAGTCTCTGATAGGGCCAGCTATTCCAAGTTTCCAACTGCCACATGGAGTATGCATAGATGATGGAGTGAAGCAATCAAATTAGCATTTTATGTAATGATCCCTTTTCCAGATATTGGTAATTTTTTTTAGATTCTTTTTTTCTTCTTGGATTGACCTTTCTTTTCTTTCTTTTCTAATGGGCACATTTTCTCCTAGTTTTCATGTGGACTATGTGATTCTTCTTTATTTATTTATTTTGATCAATAACAGAAATTGTATTCATTGAAACCATTAAGAAAGATGGAATGGTACATAGCAGAGAATGCAGAGATAAACTCTCTTATCTCTCCCAAAAGATGAAAAAGTTACAAACAAGCCCAAAATAATTGATTTCTTCCCACCCCTTGTTTTGCCAAAGAATCAGCAAAAAAGAATTAGCATCTCTTTTCTCCCAATGTAAAGTGACCTCCATCCCTTGGAGCAGCCTTCTAATCCTCCTCTCATGAATATATTCCCACCATCCCTCATCCTCTTCCTTTTGCAGCCATCTAATCACCAACTTTGAATCACCCTCAATTGAAAACTTGTGAATATTCAAGTCCTTTGCTTTTTCTATTCCTTCTATGACAGCAAGTATTTCATCTCTTAGAGCATCACCTATCCCTATTGGACTGGAGGATAGAGCAATAATTTTTCCTTCCTCAGTTCTGAACATACCTCCAATACCAGATGGGGACCATTGAATATGTGATTCTTCTTTATTTCAATGACAGAGTAGTGCTTATGTGCAAATTCTTAATGCTCTTTCCAGTTTATCACTTAATTTGGAATCTGGCATGCCCATCTTTTGTTATGTTTAACTTTGTAACTGGAAATGATCAAATGATTAGTTGTACTAACTATTATTGGTACCATTTATGAAGGATAAAAGATTGCAGAGTTTTGTTTTATACAGGAATACCTTTTCTCTTCTGACACAATGAACATGACAATGTAGATGGAGAAGCTGGCGAGATTGCAATATTTGAAGAACAAAGATCCAAAGGATTGTGCACTTTTATATATAGCATTGAATAGACTTAAGGTTTTGGCTGGTCTTTTTAAAATCAGCAAAGATGAAAAAGACAAGCCCCTGGTTGGATTTCTTTCACGCAATTTTGAGGTAACGTTCTTTATGGTTCTTTTTCTATGGTCTTTTGTTTTCTACCAACTTTTATGTTTGAGAATTGAGTTTCACACATGATGGTAGATAAGAAAGGAGAGGTGAATTTCATGATCTGGTGTCATGCGATGACTTGTTAAGTTCACAACTTTCATACACCTGGTGTAATGCTAAGTTCACAACCTCCTAGCAAGACAGGAGGTTGGGAGAGTTGATTTTTATTGAGGGGCTGCTAGCCTGGGGAGTAATTTTGCTCCCCTGGCTATATTGGAAGAACCTTTTGCACCACAGCGAATGACATCAAAACACCAATAGTTTGTGTTCTGATGGTTAGAAAGGGTATGTTGTTAACAATGTGTATAAAAAAATAGTATACAAATACTTGTTACTTTATTATTGTTTGTAGCTTGGTGATGTTTCTTGTCTCTTTTCTTTTAGGTTTGGGTTGACTTGTGTACAAGCATTCTGGCTCATATGACACTGGCACAGTGGCATGATAATTAAGTCAGAGATTTGATGTAAATCTCAACCGTCTTACCAGTGGTCATCTGTATTGATCTCTGAGGTCTTAACTCATTGTTTCAGGAGGAGAAAAATAAAGCAGCTGCCTTGAAGAATGCATATGTTTTAATGGGAAGACATCAGTTGGAACTTGCTATTGCTTTCTTTTTGCTGGGAGGTGACCATTCTTCTGCAATCACTGTCTGTGCTAAAAATCTTGGAGATGAACAGCTTGCTCTTGTAATTTGTCGGCTTGTTGAAGGTAATGGTGGGCCATTAGAGCGGCAGCTTATATCGAAGTTTCTGCTCCCAGCTGCTATAGAGAAAGGGGATTATTGGCTTGCTAGCCATCTTGAGGTGTGTTGGGGAGCTTGCTTATATTGATCTTCATGTTTGACATTTTAAAGTTCTTTGGTTTGTTAATAGTGATTCTTTTTTATTTGCAGTGGGTTCTAGGCAATTATTGTCAATCTTTTCTGAACTTGCTTGGTTTCCAAATGGATTCAGTGTTAGATAAGTCAGACTTKGCATCCAATCCTGCTGCTCTATCAGATCCATATCTTGGTCATTACTGTCTAATGTTAGCAACCAAAAATAGCATGAGGAATTCTTTAGGGGAGACTGCTTCTGCACTGCTGGCTAGGTGGGCAACATGGATAACTGTTACTGCCTTAAACAGATGTGCTCTTCCTGTAAGTTTTTTTCCCTTGTAGTCATGACATCAAAATGATAAAAAAAAGGCTTTGGATAGCTATTGGATCCTGAGTTTTTACTTTGACTTCTTTATGTGAATATGTAGAAAATGTATTTTGATATTCTTAAAGGTTTTGTCCAACTCTCAAAAATGCCTTAAAGGGACCAATCTATAAATTCAGACTTGAAGTTCATTTCAATTCTAATTGTCATGCATGATTCACCTTTCTCTATTTTTGTTTATAGATATTTTATATAGATTATCATTGTACAAGGAGACCTAACAACTCCTTCAAACAAAGCTCAAATATATAAATCCTTTCAAAATGATTTTGGATAATTGTCAGGTTCTGTCAATATTTCAATTCATGCTGTTTCAAATGCAGCTACAGTAACCCGAACCAGGAGAGAAGGAAGAAGAAGATGAAGAAGAAGAAAAGAGAAAGAGAGAACAGGAGGGTTTAGTCAAAAGTGATTCGTACACTGTTCATTCGACCCCCTAATTTTATTAAGTTCTAATAACCTTTACAAAGACTAAACTGCCCTTACTTAAGTGTGGGCAGAGTATCTCTAATAAAACTGCCACATAAGCAAAGTACTTAACAAACATGAGATGACTAAACTACCCCTATTCGGCTCATTTTAACACATGCAATCTAGGATGAGGGCTCTTTTATGTTGGTCAAGCCTAATCACTTAAGGGCCTAAATGTGGAGTACTGGTAGCATTTGCTTTGTAGTAGCAGTTTTTGAAGGGTATTTTCTTTTTGGTGGTAAAACAAACAACTTCTCTACTTTGGCTTTTCAAAGTGTATAATATGCTTTTATTTGACTCTTCTAGTCCTCTATCGCCCCATTTGGCCCAGGGTTGCTTAATAGACCACCCATTTTTTTTTGATGAATGAATATAATTTATTAATTCAGAAATATGAGGCAATACAGTAGACCCAAGAGGAGGCACGAGTTGTTACCTCTTCTAACAAGTATTACATCAAATTAAAACAGAATTGACCAGAATTAACCAGAACTAAAATTACATAGCAGCCCAAAATAAATGTTCCCTTGAAGCCCCTTGCTTAGCTAACCCATCCGCTAAGGAATTTTCTGATCTTCCCACCCAAAGAAAGGTAATAGTCATGTTTCTTGTGATCCAGATGACTTTCCTTAACATATCTCTATGTCGCCACATAGCTGAAGCTGGTTCTGTCAGTCAACCCACAACAATCTCAGAGTCCCCTTCAACTACCAAGTGCTGGACTCCTAATTGTTCTGCAATCTGAATACCTTGTACCGCTGCTAATATCTCAGCTCTATTGGAGTCTCCTATTCCCACGGAGCCTGAAAACAATGCTAATATTTTGCTTTCATTATCTCTCAACACCCCTCCTATCCCCGACAGGCCTGGGTTTCCTTGGCTGCTTCCATCAAAATTCAGCTTAACCCATCCTTCAGGTGGAGGCATCCACACTACAGATTTCCTGTCCTTCCTTGTATGGCTGTTAGCCACTGCTATCCAGTTTCTCCAAAAATCATCAAAGGAGAATGTATGAAATAAGTCCATAGTTCTTAACCAATGAATGGCCCTAGTTAAGATACAGTCGTCAACAGCTTGAGTACTTCTTTCCTCCTCCTTAAATACCCTTGCATGCCTTTCTTCCCATATTGTCCATAAGGCGGCTGCTCTAATACATCTCCACATTATTTCTGGGGTAGAGGGGACAAACCCTGCTTTATTGGTGTCTATGAGAAGGATACACACACACACATAGATACATACATACATACATACATGCATACATACGTACATACATACATATAGAGAGAGATAGAGAGGGAGAGAGAGAGAGAGAGGGTGGTAGGTGGTGGCCTACAGTATATAGTGATTTTATTAAAAATAGGAAAAACTCTTTACATTCCTTCTGTTGAAAAGGAGAGATAGATACAACAGTCTTTTGCTGACTATCATTCACCCCCCCTCTAAGTACTCGACTCCATTGACATAATCCAGTGAACTACTTCGATTGTCACTAGATCAGCAGTAGTTTTTACTCCCATCTCTTATTGATATTTTCAGAATATTATGTTATGAATAATGTGATAACATGTTCAAGAATACCTACAAGAGAATGTCCTGTAGAGTTCGTTGGGAGGTTTTTGAGTAGGAGTAAGAAATTCGATGGTCTAGGTTTAGGGAATATTCAGAAAAGGAATATGGCTCTATAGGGTAAGTGGTTATGGAGATTGCTAGCAGAAAAAAGGATAAATCGTGGGCAAAGGTGATTATAAGCATTCATGGGCTTGCAACAAGAGCTTCACCCTGGAAATCCATCCATGATATTCTACCTGTGTTCTTACCCTTCATCAGATATAACCTGTGCTTTGGAAATGCTTTCCCAAATAAGCCTGACCCAAGCCCGAGCCCGACTTGATAATAGTATATACATAATAAAAAATGTTATATAATATTATGTAATAATAATATTAGTATAAAATGTATTATATAATATTCTATATATTATGTAATATATAAAATATCATATAATATATAAATAATATATTATAATATATCTATCCAGATCGGGCTTCAGGCTTGAGCCTAGTCATTTTCTATTTATAAAGAGGCAAAGCCTGGCCCAACCCATGAACATGTCTACTCACCACTGGAGAAACAATTTCCATCTCTATTTAGCTTGTTTGACTTAAGAATAAGCCTACTTCTTCCTTGGTGCCTTCTAGCTCAAATTCTGGCTTTGCCTAGAATTTGGGGTTTAGGAGGGGTCTTAAAGATTCTAAACTAAGTAATGTTTTTGACTTCATCTTTTGGATGGGGTGTTCTTGATCTCCTTAGAGTCAGATAACTAGATATGGACTCTAGATTCCCCTGGTTCTTTCTCTTGTGCCTCTTTCTTCTCGGATTTGATCCAACACCTAGATAGCTCTGTGATAGGCCCCCAATTAAACCTTACGTATGCTAGGAAAAGGGAAAGGGCAGCAATCGGTTAAGGGGGGGAATAATTGAACAATTAATCACATGGGGGCAATTATAGCTGCAGGGAATAAGGAGAGTCTTGAGGCATTTATAGCTATGTCAGTTAGGAATAGGAAGAGTGTTGGGCATTTATAACTTGGCCAGCTGGGCATTTATTGAGGGAGTCAGTTATGCTGTGAGAAGAGTATAAGAAGGGGCTTTGGGGGATGGGGGAGGTATGCTTTTTGTTGAGTGAAGAATACTGTGAGTGATTGGGAGAGCCAACGGTCTCTCGAAGAACCGACCAACTGTTACTGTTCTTCCTTTCTTCTGAATGAATACCAGTTTCTTTGCTGATTTTTGAGTCGTGAGAATTCTGCTGTGTCTGAGATTTGTTTGTCAAGTTTCTGGGTCTTATCACTTTGGTTTGCCTTTTCTTGTTAAGGAGGTTTGGAGTAAGTGAGCCATCCAACACCTCTAGTTCTTTTCTAAAGTCAATCTTGCAAACCACAACCCGACTCCCCTTTCCGGAGTCTTGAATCAATGCACTCGTTTGCGATAAGTGGGCCATCCAAAAATTGTCTCCTGTCCATGAATGCATCCTGTCATGGAAGAACCAACATCCCCATTACTTTCCTTCAGCTATTCACCGATAATTTAGAGATGACCTTGTAGAAATTGTTGATCAAGCTGATAGGTTTGTAATCCCTCAACTCAGTTGTGTCGAACACCTTTGGTATTAGAGAAATGAAGTTTGACCTTGCACCTTGAGAAAGCTTTGCATTTTGCTAGAATTCCTCGATTGTGGCTAGCAAATCCACCTTTATGATATCCCAACACCTGTATAAAAGCCTGTGGGGAAACCATCCAGGCTCAGGGCTTTGTCCCCTTGCAAGTCCTATAAAACCTACCAAACTTCATCTATTATTGTTTGTAAATAAAATAGAAAAAGAAAGGGAAAAAGGAAGAAAAGTGTTAGGAAAGTTGTGTTGCACAGTAGAAAAGCAAGGAAAAAGTAGGAGGTAAAAGAAAAGTGGGTTTCAAGGAAGGAATACGAACTGTATATCCCTTCCTCTAAACCTGCACTTTAGCATTGTTCATTTAACATGCAAAAATTACAAAAATGCCCCTGTTAAGTGATTCTTAATAAGCGAATGCCATATTACATCAAATGACTAAAATGCCCTTGTGGGCAAACATTTCAACATTCCCCCTCAAGCTAGAGAAAATATATCATAGAGTCCCAACTTGTTACAAATATAATCCATCCTAGTACGACACAAGCTCTTTGCAAACAAGTCTACAAGCTGTTCTTCTGACTTGACATAAGGAGTCACAATATCACCATTTGTCACCTTTTCTCTTGCAAAATGACAGTCAACTTCTATGTGTTTGGGCCTCATGGAAAACTGGGTTGGAAGCAATATGAGTAGTAGCTTGGTTGTCACTAAACAACTTGATGGGCTTCCCTATAAGAGTACCCATTTCTTGAAGGAGATGTTTCAACCATATCAACTCACACGTGGTGTGGGCCATTGCTCTATACTCATTTTGAACACTACTTCTTGCAACTACACTTTGCTTCTTACTTTTCCAAGTGATGAGATTGCTACACAACAAGGCACAATATCCTGTAGTAGACCTTCTGTCCATTGAGGAACCTGCCCAATCTGCACAGAAATATCCCTTTAAGGTTAGTTCTCTCCCTTTCTTGTATAGTAATCCTCGACTTGGAGCACCTTTCGGGTATCCAAATACTCTTACAACACCTTCCTAGTGAATGGTTGTGGGATTCTGAACTGACTCAGAACCCCTACACTAAAGGAGGTACCAAGACGAGTGATGGTGAGAGAAATCAACTTGCCAACTAATCTCCTATACTTTCCAGGATCATTGAATGGCTCTCCTTAGTTATCAATCATTTTCACCTTAAGATCCATAACTAGTTTCACCCCTAGTAGACCAGTCTCATCCAACAAATCCAAGACATACTTGCATTGTGACGGGGAGATTCCCCACTTCGATCGGGCTA